TGTGTGTGGGTGTGTGTGTGTGTGTGTGTGTGTGTGTGTGTGTGTGTGTGAAATCAAACAGAAACCTATCGCTTTGCATACAGCCTGTTTTCAAAAACAAAGTGCATCTTCTAAGAACAGTTCAACTGCATTTCACAGTCCAACACATTTTCATTTTATATTTCATTCAAAGACATTCAATGATTCAACAGCTTGATGAGAAAAAAGAAGACATTTTCATGCAGCAACCCTGGTGGGTTTTATACAATCCAATACGACACTAAGACCAAGACTGACAGAAGAAAGCAATCCAAGGCACTCCTCAAATCTAACCTTGTACAGAACACCAAAAATAGAAACAAATGACAAATGATATTTTGAGCGTTGCAAAAATATGATCACACTAATCACCCATGTGAAGAATAAATTACATTTGTTTTAAAATCCAAGCTCCTGTCTGTTTTCAAATACTATCTCCTATGTTCTGACACCTGGAGGAAGCAGAGCACAGCAAATGCACAAAACCATGTTACTGAAACCATCTCCAGAAACCCAAGATCTTCTGGCTTCCATGTGAGCTAACTCATCCTATGGCGCTCGGAAACTGGCTCAGTCAAAACTTGGAAACTACCTCAGAATCAGGCAGTGGCTGAGGGAGCAAAACACAATGTGAGATTGTTGGGGGGGGGGCAGTCACACGCATGAAGGAAGTACATTTGCTCAAGCAAGGTACTCTCAGCTGAATGGATCTTGCAAAGATGTAAAAGACATCCTCACGCTCTTTTGCCTTTAAAAATTAATTCCAGGTAGTCACTGTATTACACAGTAAGGTACCACGTTATACGGGTGACCTGACTTCAGAATTTTTCAAGATATAAGTCATTGTTTTACGGATTTTTTGTTTGTTTGTTTTTTTGCTTCACTGTGAGCGCAGACTAAAAATACGAGCACGAGCATGACCGTCAGTGAGAAAGCAGTTCGGATGTCTCAATGACCGTATTATACTGCCCTCCGGTGGCCAAAGTCAGCACACCAGAAGCAGCAGTACAATGACGATTCAGTTGATGCAGTGAGGAAAATAAAACCTGTTGGAAAAAAAAAAGTACTTCATGTCATTACTGTGTGTTTTTAAAATGACAGTACTGTTGAGTGCTGTTTTTCTTCTTTAAATGATACATGACAACAATTTGTTGTAGTTCTGGATTATCCTGATTCACACTTTGGGAACAGGGCTCTAATCCAGACCTTGGTAGAACTGCCTTGTTTTATGTGGCTTAAAGGAAACAGAAAATGCTTTACTTATACGATCGAGGGTGTCTGGCTGAAAGGAAAGACAAACAACGTTTCATTCACTTTTTTTCAAAAATGGCGCGAGGCAAATCTTCCGTTTGACTCCTCCTGACAGACGAAGCATTTGTGTCGCTCACCTTATCTGGTTATGGAACCCGGCAACCACCACCACCCCCATGAGAGCGAGGATCACCAACGTGACAATCGATGGTCATCATCTCTTGACTTCTTCTTCTTCACATGGCAACAAAGAGTGTGTGATGGCTTGTCACAAATCAAGTCAATGCGTGTCATCATCTTGGATAGGTTGCTCAGGATGATTCTTCTGTCCAGCTTGGTGACGATATTTTCCTCGACGCCGGCAAGCTGGAACACAAATTTTCAGGATGATTCTTCTGTCCAGCTTGGTGACGATGTTTTCCTCGACGCCGGCAATTGGAACACACATTCATACTTGCCCTCCACGCCGGCCGTCACTTCCACTTTCAGGTGGGCTGTGGTTTGGAAGGTTCCGTCATGGTTGGGGAGGGTCTCCCCCATCTCCACGTCCTCGTGGATCACCTTGCTGTCCTTCCTCCAAAAAAGGGCTGGGGCTTTTCCCCCTATAGCTGCACACCTGTTGGTAATTTGGTAATTAGAGCTATAAAAGGACTCCCAGCCCGACCACTCACGGTCAGGTCATTGTTTGCTCTCGATACTGTCATGTTCGTTTGTTTGCTGTACTCAGGTTTGTTTTGGTCATGGTTCTGTTTTAGCTTCAGTTATGATTTTTGTTTGCTACTTTAGACTGTGTTTGTTTTGGATTGAGTTTTCTGTTTTAATACACTTCATAAAGTACACCCTGCTCCTGCCTGCTTTTTGGGGTCCACCACCACCACGCAAACGTGACAAGAGGATGAACGAAATAGCATCCGAGGACAATTGAAAGAACGAGAAAAATGTGGGAGAGGACAAACAATGGAGAACATGTTTGAGAGGATGAAAGATGGAAAGAACATGTGAGGGGGTGTCAGTACCAGGCTCGGACACAGGACACAGTTGCAGGGTTCAGATTCAAAGGGGAGATGCATTTGAGGGCTGGTGAGTAAAGAGACAAGCTATGAAATAAATCTATGAGAGGCTCTTAAAAAAACAACAACAACAAAACTCACTTAGCAGGTGAGAACTCTATCTGCAAGGCTGCGGAAACAAGGCAAGGGCTGGTCAGATCTGTGGTGAGAGCCTGAGGTACACGCACAAGGAAGAGACACACTGACACAGGACTAAGTGAGAGGACCAAAATTGCGTGTGTTTATGAACATACATTTGTGTTAGTGCACACTGCACCCTAAGCATCCTGTCAGATTTACAAAAAAGGTATTTCCGTATTTTCCGCACTAAAAGGCGCCCCGAAAAGTCTCACAGCACACCTTAAAATCCGGCACACCTTGTGTATGGTCATTACAGTAATATGTCGACTCCAAAATGGCTCCTTGCTGGAGACATGCAATAGAACATGGAAATAGAAAAGCGGCAAGATAGTTCAACGATAACGAGTCAATGTTATAAGTTGCTGTTGGTTCAGTGAACTGTGTTGCTGCTTTATTAAATACGTTTTTGTTGCAGCTCCAAAAAAACGGAAAGCCGTGGTGGTGTTTTTTTTAAAACGCAGACTTTATTCATGTTTTTCACAGTCTCAACAAATACAGGTCTGTCTTTGTCCGTCTCCGTGCCATCTCTTCCTCCGTTCCACTCGAGAGACATTCATGACCGCCTCCGAAAAACGTAAATTAACGATTAGTTCAATGAAACTACGAAAATGGAAAATAATGCATCAAAACAGAAAATCAAGCAAGGAAATCACAAAATACATTCTGTAGCCCACCTACAGAATGTATTTTGTGATTTCCTTGTTTGTGAATACACAACAAAGGAATAAATAACAAACACTTTTGAGACAGTCCACTCTCCTCCATTTTACTGACATCTGATCATTCTGTTAACATTTCCTTGACCCCAGCCCCATCTAGTGGATGCATTGTAGATTGCGTTTTATCAGGCCAAAAACAAAAAAGATAGTCTGTTTCCGGTAACATGAAATTTCAGCATTGGGTCGGTAGGTCGGACAAATTTATTTTTTTCAATCTTTTTATTTTCCCCATCAAAAATTTAAACAAAGTAACCATAAAACATACAACAAGAAGACATTGAAC